TTTATCACAGATTTTTCTTTTTTCTTTTTTTGCTATTAGAAAATATTCTTACCCGTTTTTGTTCTAATTTTGTTTCTTTTAGTTTTTCTTTTGTTTCTCGTAAATGTATTTGTAAAAATGTATAGGCACCAGTTGGACGAAATCGTTCGCCTTTACTAATCCATATTGGACCGATTAATAAGCCATGAACAGTTTTTGTCATGTTGTCTTCTGATTCAAAAACTAAATTAAACAAGGATAACAAGAGAGTCTATAGTCATATTCACTTATTTTATAATAAATATCGTACATGTTTTTAATGATGTAATATCATCTACACAATAATTATAAGCTTTTTTAGCATGTGTGGTCAATCCAATTTTTTTTGTACATTCTTCAAGAAACTAAAACAAAAAATAGAAGAGAAACATTCAATTTTTTGAAAACAAAAAAAAAACAATAATACAATGACTTTATTTTCAAAATTTTATTAATTAAAAAATTTTTTACTTTTTCAAATTTTTCTTTTAGAACTGTATCGATTAAAATTTGATTCATTGCATCATTTCCACCAAATCCATTTTCAAATATCATCAAATTTATATTTAATTTTATTTGTTTTCTAAAAGAGGTGAATAAAATATTTTTTAAGTTTTATGTATGATAGATACATACGCTAAACGTTTTGATATTGTTGTTCTTGTTGTAAATGATTCGGGTTTAACAGCTGATGTTTTAATACCTTTCATTGTCCATGTTGAATTCATTACATACTCAGTTTGCACTAAAAATTATTATATAAAAATATTTTATGTCAATGTAAAAATATTCTAAAATTAGAAAATAATAAAAAAAATCAACTTATACCTTTGATTGGTGTTAATGGATTTTTAAAATTTTCTCCACTTGAAACATAGTAATCCGTTTGTGGTCGTATATCTTCAGTATGAGTAATTTCACGACCATTTCCATCAAATAATCGTCTTGCCGCTAATGGCATTTGTAATTTTTCTGTTGCATATAAAAATATCTAAATAAAAAAATCCATTTTAAGAAGAAGAAGTAAAATATATTAATATGTACAGCATCAATTGTGGTTATTTTGCAAAATACACATTTATCTCGACTACCATTTCTATACAATGTAATAATGAAATTATCTTTTTGAGAACGAGAACCAATAGAACGACGTTGTTTTTTCTTGGAAAAAACAGCACTAAAAGTAGAAATTATACATTTTTGTTATTATCCGACAGTTAATGTATTCATAAAAATAATTATTATCAAGGTTTTATTGATGTTTAAAGGGCCCTCCCTCCTCAGAAATTATCTCCGATCTAGACGAAACTCTCCATAAATGTAAGGCACAATGAGTTACGAGAATGAACAATTTTTTTTATCTTCAAGTCCTACGGTTCAGGAGTTTTTCAGAGATCAAGGTCCAAAAAGCACCCTGAAGTGTGTCCCAACATTTTTTAATATACTTCAAGCTGGGGAGTTCGGATTTGTTTTATTTTAAACTAGACGTCTAGCTACATGGACTGATAGGCGCCGATTTTTCAATTAAGCCTTTATTGGTTTTCCAGGCAACCAACAACCTTCAAAACCCGAAAAAGCCTTCCGAGTTTTCTAAAAATCCGCAGTTTGACAAAAAACTAAGATCTAATTCAAAAATCGATGCCGGTCAGTCCATCTAGTTTCTTGTCCTCTTTTAAACAAAAAAAGAATAAACTC